TTACAAAGAAATGGTTGTGGTTAAGACACCACAAGAAGACCTCAAGAGTGAATTACAATGTTCAACTAACTAAACCCACTTCCATTATCGACTCAACCCTACTAGTTTTAGCATTCGGACTTCTGCCCTGCTCTTGGGTTTAGATTGGTTACAAAATTTCCAACATCACATTGAGTATGTTCGGTAATGAAGCTACCAAAATTTTTAAAGCTATTGTTTGCGTCCCTCAAACTTTATTCTTGAGGTTGTACTGGAAATCTCTCATTCCTTTCATACGAAGATTATAATTTGGCCAATGTACAATAAGAGCAATTTGAACTCTGCCCACAATTTGAAAGGGCACCTGATTAATCTTAAAATACTAGCTGTCGACTTGAAACCATGCTAGTGATTTGCTTGCCATGCATATAACAGTGTCCATGATCTCCTTCTTTGGAATTTTTTTTGAGATGCCTTCTTTGACACCTGATTAATCTTAAAATACTAGCTTTAGCTCCCTCTTGGAGCTCCAAGTTGTCCGAGGCTATTCCATTCAGTGTTGTCAATACTAATTTCTTCACCTGAAGCGCACTCACCTTGTTTCCTTCTCTCAGCAACTCACTAGACTTCCCAACCTCACCTTCTTCCAGCGCTTGATCAAAAGACACTATCCCCTGGTTGGCTTGCACCATCATTTTGATGAATGTCTTCTCCATTTTTTCCTGCTTTCATAGTAAATGACTCATGAATTTCACCAATGCTGTATGTGTCATTTTTCTCCATTCATCAAAGTCTCTGCAATCATCCTTCTCCTTAACACATCCAAGATATAGAATTTTTACCAAAGTGTTTGAGTTTCTAGAAACACACTTATATTTGTATTACTAAATGTAGAATTTTTACCAAAGTGTTTGAGTTTCTAGAAACGCACTTATATTTGTATTACTAAATGCAACTATGAACTATAAGTTTCCAACTACCGAATTTTCAAGAGGTTTATGAATGTGGCTCTGTAGCCAATTATTACTAAACCATTGCTTAGCTCTTTTCTACTTCACACTCTTCCATCTCTTTGTAGTAACAGACCTTTTTATTTTTCCCTTTTTTCCTTGTACTACAAAATAACTTGATGGTTCACATCCTTTCTACTCGCCCTTCTTGTGACTAACTCTTACTCGAGGGCCTCCCTTGCCTTCTTCATGTCTAAGTAAAACAGAACGGTGTTCGGAGCTCCTATCATGATGATAGTAATATGGTACTTGAGACTGAGAACCTTTTTGATCATGTAAAATGTTACCGTCCATGCTGAGCGTCCGTAAACTTTGTGATATTTCTCTAAAAAATTACTCAGTTTACTTTAGTATATTCTACAATCCATTGACTTAGGCCTTAGAGCTTATTTTTTGCCAATACTTCTATAGTGTCGTTTTGATTCTCAAGATTGATTTGGATTCAAAGTGAGTATAGATTTAGGACATGTTTAGGAGTGATTTTGACAGTGCTACAATCACTTTCACTCATACCAAAGTCACTTCCATTTTAAAATAAACATGTTTGACAATGATTTTTTAGTAATTTTGAAAAAGTCTATAATCACTTTAAGGGATTCCTGGTCAATCACTTGGGAGGTAATTCCCCAAGTGATTTTTGGTAAAAAATTATTAGGAAATTAGTTCTTAAAACGGTTATTGTTCTAAATTTCAAATTTGTCTTTCTATTTCACCTTATCTTCACATTAAATTTTGAGAAAATTTATTTTTGTCCTTTCTAAAATTTTTGTCTCTCGAACTTTATTTATCTTTAATTTTATCTGTTCTGTCTAAACTTTTTCTCTAAAACTCATTTCTCTCTAAATTTTTAGTCCTCATCTCTTTCTAAGTTTGTTTTTCTCTCTAAAATTTCTTTCCCTAAGATTCATGTTCCTCACTTTTTTCTCTCTAAAACCTTTGTCAAATTCTCTCTTTAAACTTCATATAATAATCATTCAAAATCATTTTTTATTATATGAAAATCACTTGAAAAGTTGTGTAACTAAACATTAAATAATTATATGAAAATCACTTTCACAAATCACTTGTCATTAAATCGCGTTGGTTAAAATCACTCCTAAAATCATACCAAAACATGCCATTCCACATGTAGCTACCAAATGGGTTCAAACGAATCAAACCCACCCTCTACCACAACGCTTAATCCTAAAGTAATATGTTTCTATTTGTTTGCATTGGGTAGAACTCAAGGAATATTCATAATCCCTCTTTCGTCCAGTTGAACTCACTACTATATTTGTAAGCAAGAAGATAATTAGAAGTACTCTATTTGTTAGCATTGGGTAGAACTCAAGACTGCTCGCTCTTGGACATTTGGAAAGATTTTGGATCTGTCGTACTCTTTATTGTTTGTCACTATTTTTCTCTTTTCTCCATAGAAATCCATTGTACAGCATGTATGTTAGATTTTGAATCATTATGTTCCGTACAATGAATTCTGGACTTTTGATTTATAATTGTATGCTGTATGATTGTATGCACAAACACATGCATGTGCATCTCTAAGCTAAGCTTTAGCAAGAATTTTGATGCCAAGGGGGGCTGAGGAATCTCTTATTGACCATTTCGTGGTATGTGGAGAAATCATTACTCCCCTTGACTTTGTTTATTGTTGCTTCTGCTGAGGAATCTTGTATATATTATGTTCATAGAATTCTATTTATGATTGCACGCATGCACGTGCATGTTTGAACTTTAACAAGAATATTTCATGCTTCTGCAACATTGTTTCTCTAGGAAGTGCCATTGTCAGAAATTGGTGAGTCTGATAAATTGGCTAACTTATAGAAATTTATTAGCCGATACTTTTAGGAGGATTTATTTTGGCTATGTATGGGAGTGCTTTTAGTATGACTAAAAACAATTTTGGCCGTAGCCAAAAGCACTCCCCATTCAAAATTATAATGCTTGGACGTAACTTAAAATATTTTTTGAAAAAAGTCAAAACACTTAAATTTCTTTATGGAAAAGCACGTATAGAGTTCTTTCAGCCCAAATACTTTCTCGAGAAGCACTTCGCAGTTTAAAAAATAAAGGTTTTTTTTCTTATATATATATATTTTTTAATGTTTGAGTGTCTAGGCCAACTTGCATGTCCCTTGATTAATCTTACAAGATAACTATTTTGCCCCTATTATGTGAAGAAAGCTCGTACGATCCATTCCCTAGATAGGTGGCCACCAAGGATTGAATCGATTCCCTCTCAGCGCTTAACCATTAGACTACTTTAAAGTGGTTTCAAAGTGATTTGCTAGAAAATGCTTTTTATTAAAGTGCTCATAGTTGAAGTACTTTTGTTAAAAACACTCCCCAATACATCTTTTCTATTTCTATGCAGAGTGTTAAAAGATGATTAAAAATATTGACAACAAGCATTGTTCATGAATCTCATTATTTTACCCGCTGATTTTATCATTTGTATCTTACTTGGAAAATGAAAATAGCTAACTATTTTTGAACTATCAAAATCTTGTTTACATGGTATGATAATCTTTTCTCCTGTTTAATCAAAAGGTGTTGAGGTCCTTCAATGAGTCTAAATCAATTCTATTTTGCTGCTAAGTCGTTCAAGCTGTTTGTGGTGGCAAAGATCAGAGGAGAGTTCAATGCTTTTGGCACAGACAGGATATATTCTCTGTGATTTAATGCTTTTGGCAGGTTCATTTATCCCTCGTCCCATAGGACAGTGACCTACCATTTTATCAAATGCTTTGAAGCATATCACTGCTAAAACTCAGTAGAATCACTTCAGATTCTACTAAAACTTAGTGATTTGATTAGCAAGTTGGGGACTCTGATACAGTAGGCCCTAACACCATAATGATAAAGAAAAGATGGGCTATTGAATCCACTGACTTTTGGGAGTAAAGGAAAATATCAGCCCCATCTTTGATTTGCTCCACATATTTGCAATGTGCAAGTCACTGTGAGCACCTCTTAATATTGAGACTCGGTGTTCGAGTAGCAGCCGAGCAAAATCTCCATCGATTGTCCTTTCAATCCTTGCTCGAATTCATACCTTATCAACACAACATTGATGATTGGTTATGTTTTTTCTGGCTATTGTTCATTGCTAGGTGACGTCCTCATCATCTGCCTCCTCTTCTGACTTTTGTTTCTTACATTAAATCAAATCAAAGTTATCTGTTCCTGTGTGCTTCCTGTTATTGTCATTTAGGAAACATTATGACCAAAGAAAGGTCTCAGATGCTTAAAAAGAAGTGTGTCAATTTGGGTTTTCTATCTTTCGGAAATTGAAATTATTTGTCGTAGCGGTTTCGAATCTTCAACGTAAAAGTTAAAGTTCTCTGTTCATTTCAATTGACATTGCCATATCTTTGTACAATGGAGATTTATGCTCTGCAAGATTGTGTGTACTGTTAGATTCACTATTGTCAAGGATCAGATGTTCAATCATTTCAGAATCCAAAAGTTTGTTGCTGCTGCTGCCTCTGCCACTGCCACTGCCACTGCCATTGCTGGCTTTTCAATGAATGAATGATGCACAAGTCACATGACATTTTCAGATTTCCTTGAGGTTATAATTTCTTTGTAGGGGCCATTGCAACTCAGCCTTCATTTTTTGACCACTGCATCAAATTATTGTACTATGTCTAACGTTTTAGCAAAACTGTATGTCCTGTAATCAACTCGACTCGACAAAGTTCAATCATCCGAACAACAATACGTTTCAAATTATTTAAGCTAAATATGTTATCTGTCCTTGATCCACATGCCCTTTTGTCATGCTTTATAGAGCTGTGGTTTGTATTAGATGAGTTTCTTGTCCATATGATTCCAAGGACGAACAATTAAAATAACAAACGGCTCTTTAGTTCTGTCATACTTTATAGTTTGGTTAAAAATGTCAAAATATCCTTGTTATTTGACGTTAATAGTTTAAAAACTCATCTTTCTCTGCCACATCTAAAGAAAACATACAACATAACAAATACTATTCAATCTAAAATCTAGTAAGAACAAGGAACGTTTTTAAGATATCAACGAAACCATATACATCATAATGTTAAACCTGTCGAAGGGTCTAGATCGAAACCTTCAAAACTATGTTGAAACCAAATGGCAACAAAGAGAAATGGTTTTGTAGGGCAATGTGAGAGAGTTGAACCTTACCAGAAGAGAGATAAAATGGAAGAAAGTGGGAGGACCAAAATCAAACACCATCTTAAACACCAAGTTGATGGTCAAACGTTGGCTCCCTCCCCTCAATTTCTACCAGTGCAATTGACATTAATGACAGATGTTCCAAAAAGATAAAGAAAAGAAAAAGAAAAAAGAGAAGTCCCTCCCCTCCCATCCACTCCAGTCCTCCACTGTGAAGCTGAATTGGCCATTGTTAATGCCCAAATTCCAGTGCCCTGACACAGCACCAACGTGGAATTCTAGGGTGCACACCGTACTTGATGTTACATGTCTCAAACACAGACAACATTTGGGGTCTTGGTCTTGGTCTTGGTTTTGGGTATTATTAGTGTTATCATTACCTGGTTCCTCCAGCGAGGCTGAGCTTGTCCTTGTCCTTCCACAGGGGGCCTGCATCAACCAAAATGCAAAATGCAAAAGCAAACTTATCCATGATTCTGACCACTCACAATTCATCCTCAAAGCCCTCGAAACTCTCTCGCTCCCTCCCACATTCACACCATTACCAAACCCTTCTTCCCATCTCTTTTTCCTCTTTGAGTATCAACAGATTGAAGTTTGGGTCTCAATGGGAGGCATGACTGCTTTGACAATTATGGCAAACCAGACAAAAGAAAACCCAGTACCAGTAATAAACAAAAGGATTCCCCAATCACAACATTTTGGAAAATGGTTAAAAAGAAGAAAAAAGGACTTGGAGCCTGAAGGGCAGTTGCTTTTCAGTTCTCACCTCCAATTTGTCGTTGAGAACACTGAAAAATTTTTCAAATCCACTCTAGGAAGCAATCTTCCTCTTCCTTGGGATTACTTTTATGGGCAAACCACCCTTTGGCACAGGAAATGGCCCGTACTGTATCCCAGATTCCTCTCCCACCACTTGCCATCTGATTCCCCAATCAAAAACAAACCCAACATTAGGCAAACAGCTAATTAGATTATCTCACTATCAATTCATTCAGTCAGACATTTTCACAAACACTTGGCAGGCAGCACCCAAAAACAATCATAATTCACCGAAACATTTTCACAAACACTTGGCAGGCACCACCCAAAAGCATCATGATTCACTGAAACATTTTCACAAACACTTGGCAGGCGTCACCCAGAAACATCACAATCCAGTTTAGTATTAATCCCCAGAAGAAAGAAAAACATGAGGTGTGAAACGATTAAACGTGTGGATGAAAGAAATGATTTGGTGATGCAGAGAATTATGATTGTTCTTACAGCTGGCTGCATTATTGGCCTGTTTGGTAGCAATGGACCGGCGAAAAATTCAGGTACTATGTAATTTAAGAAGGCCTATTAAATAATATAACGTATCAAAATGTGAGATGTGAGGAGTAGGTACTATCTTAGTATTAGAATTTTTTTTTTCATGAACCAAAATATTGACAGCTGTACTGAACCAAATCTTCGTCACATGGAGAGAAATAGAGAAAGAGACAGATATTTTAAGATCAAATGATTGGGGTTCTGGACAATGGAATCTTCACACATAATTCATCGTTTAATTTAGTATCATTCAAATTATTTTTTTAATCAACAGGCGTTTATCGATCAATACATATTTTTATTGATCACTATCCAATTTTAATAAGAAACGAGAGAAATGTAGAAAAAGATATATTTCACTTTATCAGATTTTCATAAATAGTAACAAAAACGAGTGTTGATTAAATAACTTAAATGAAAATATGTCGTGATAAGTTAGAAAATGAGGAAGACTTGCAAGGGATGAGAGAGTGATTAGAAAATATTTAAAATATTAAAGTTTTTATTCTAATTTACTTTCTAAAAAAGTTCATTTTTAAGAAAGAATAAAAATAAGAAAAAAGAATGTGAAGAGTAAAGAAAGATGAGGTGACATGAAATGGAGGGACAAAGGATATTGGGATGTAATAAAGAATCTGAAAAAAGTTATTTTTAATTAAGGAATTTGATGCATGCATGCCACGTGTACTAATGCATGCAACTAAAAACAATTTTACCTTGTCTTCTCCTAGCTATTAATTTACTAAATCTATATTTCCTTAAAAGAAAAAGTTACAAAATAAGGGGAAAAAAAGAATCAAAAGGGTAATTAAATCCTCCTATATATAAAACTCTCACATAAAATGGGTTAAGAGAGCCTTTTATATTAGAAAAATACTAATTTGGAATTAAGTTTTTGACGCTAGGAGAAAATATAAATAACTGTCAAATATTTAACGGTTGGAAATTTAATATCAACCAGTTAATAAAGAAATATTATTCTTTATAATAGAAATGGGTCCTTTGTAGAGAAAAAGGTGGCCTTTTGTTTTAAGGGCATCCTTCACCGACTCGAGGTGGGAGAGAGCCAGAGAGATTGAGCCCTAGGTTTGACTATCAATAAAAATTTGACAGTTTTTTAAATTTTTGAAAAACAAAAAGGAAAATCAACTTTTTTTTCTATATTTCTCTCTTTTATTTATAAAAAATTAGTAGAGGTTAATAAAAGATGAGTGCTAACCGATAAACATCTAAATATTTCTCTTTTTCGATGAGAGGAGGGGAGGGACGAGAGTTCCATAGGATAGGGAATACTAAGGAGAGGACCGCACACACCCAAAGGAAACATTGAAGAATCCATTATTCCAAGTCAACAAACACTCAAACAAAAAGCCAACTTTTATATGCTTTCTCACTCGATTCAAAACGTGTAAAGTATCATCATCTTTAATTATCTTCAACTTTATCGCATCTAGATTGGAAATATATACCAATCACCGTCGAGCTATGCTCGTTTTGGCCTAATCTAGAGAGTTATGGGTGAGCTAAGAGAGTAACACGAACTTTCAACCAATATGAAAGTCTTATTGAAGTTACCGATATTTTAAAGTGTGTTTGATTGACGATTAGAAAACATAAATTTGAAAATAAGAGATTCAAAGAAAAACATGATTGTATTATCTAATTTTAGTGTTTTCAGATATGTGTTTTGGTAGCAGATTTGAATCTCTCACCTTAAAAAGTTGTTAAACATGTGTAAAATAATAGCAGTAATAAACTAAATATTTAATTTAATCTAAAATAATATTAATTAATTTATTTTTGTAATGAGTTTTGTATAATTATTATTTTCATCACATAATTCAAACACAATTTTAAAAAAGAATCTACCAAACTCTTCAAAGCGCATACCCACTTAATCCAAAAAATACAAAACAAAATTCGGATTACCAATCAAACATCCTTTAACCATCTAAAAACAGGCGTAGAAGATTCTAACTTTTAACCTCCCAGAACAAATTATTAGTGTAAAACCGTAAATTTTATTAAAGTAAGAGTAATTAATTAATGAATAATGATCATGATTATCAGAGAGGCAAGAGTAGAGAGAAGCCATATGATAAAAAATGGAAGAGAGAGAGAGAGACCTGTAAGTAATGGTGAGGTGGTGAAGGAGGACAAGCATTTCAAGCTTAGCCAGCTCACTGCCTGGACAGGAGTGCACTCCATTTCCAAAGGGCAGGTACGTGTTTGGTCTCGGTGGCACCTTTCACCGACGCACGCACACGCACAAACACACAACAACCATAATAAGAGCTGACGTTTTCTATTCAGCTAACTGTAACTAAGTTCTCTTCGAATTTATATAAAAGATGCGGTTTTATAAACAATTTGTGAGGTTTAACCAAATAGAAATAACATAATGACCCACTTTCTGACGTTATTCTACAAACGCATCTTCCTCACGTGATATGACACTCTAGAAAGATTTCGACTTTAGACATCACGATGAACAAAATAACTACATTACATACAACATATATTTTAATTTTTCGAAAACGACATGACTCTCTCTTGGATGAAACATAGAGCCACCAATGACCCTTCTGTTTTATTTTTTGGACCCTCTTGAAAAATTATTTTAACGATCTTGAAAAAGAGGTACACTGATTGATAAGCAGTTAAGTATTTTTTATTAGATGTTTAGGCAGCTCACCTCGAATCTTGAAGGGTCAAATTTCTCGGGATGAGGAAAGAAATCTGCAGAGTGATGAATGGTTCTGAAGAGTGGAAGAACTTTCCATCCTCTTGGGATTAAATACCCTTCAAACTCCACGTCTTCTACTGCTTCCCTAAATGTGAATGACACAACACTTGCTGTTCTTAGGGTTTCTTGTATCACCTGATCAATTGAAAAAAAGAAAAACACCCTCTTTATTTAGTTTCGATGATTCGAAAAGTTTCTAAGTCGTTCTCCAACTTTAAGTAGAATTTTGTCAAATGCAATCCTAAAACTTTTCTTCTTTTTTTCATGCCTACAAACTCGTGATAAATTCTTTAAATAATTTAGACAAAAATTCATTGACTTATTAAATACTTTTTAAGTAAAAAACTAAATAAAAGTGACTTTGAATGTTATATTATTTACCTAGAAATAGCACGTATATGATTTATTAAAAGTTTAAAGACCAAACTTGTAATTTAACCCATCGATTACGTACCCGTGTGGTGGTATATGATTTATTAAAAGTTTAAAGACCAAACTTGTAATTTAACCCATCGATTACGTACCCGTGTGGTGAAGGGCATGCGCCTGGTATCATCCCACGTAAGGTTACGGTTCCCTTGGCAGAGTTTGCGTTGAAAAATCGCCTCCTGCTCCTTCTGAGAATCAGATTAATTAAATTTTCAGATCAAAACATAACACATGAAACCAAACAAAAATTGGTTTGGCTTTGATTTTGGTTTTACCTTAACTGCATCGAGAAGATGGTGATTGTCGTGCAAGTACTTGAGAATCCATGTTAACACACTAGCAGTCGTGTCTTGAGCTGCAAATATTACTCCTATTATATTATCAGCTATTTGTGAATCACTCAGCTTGTTTTTCTCCGCCTCATCTCCGCCGTCGCTACCGCCACCCAATAGCACCCCGAGCAGCCCGCCGCCGTGCTCCTTCCTCCGCCGTCGCTTCTCTATCAGTCTCCCCAATGTCTCACTCAACAACTTCCTTGCCTGCCCCATTCCAACAAAACAAACGTCAAAACACGAATCGAATCGAACCAAATCAACAACCAACTCAGAATTTAGAAAGTGAAAATTTAGGAACAGATTAAATTAAAAGGTAAAAACTTTAAAATCTTAACGAGAGATAAGAGTACAATTGCCCTCCTCCTTCCTTCTTCGCTCGAAAGAAAGTTTTTGTTGGGTTGTTTAGTTACCTTCATAGCTTTGCGAAAAGGAGTTCCGGGGAGATCGATAGGCATTGAATTGTAGCCTTTCTCGAGGCATTGGTAGAGATGTTTGATTCTGTCGATTTCCAATTCTTGTTGTTCTCCAAAAGCCGAGATCATCGCGACATCGAAAGCAAACTGACCAAAGAAACCCCACAAACACAAACGCAATAACACACAATAACAACATAAAATGTAGACACTAAAAATTTGTAAAACTTTGGATTTGTTTACCCTTTTCATTTGGTGCAAGGTGTTGATTTGTTGGGAGTTGTTCCAAGAGGGGAGAAGCCTAAGAACAATGGCCTCAATTTGGGAGACAGATGGTCTGATGGCAGAGGGCAAAAATGAAGCTTGGACCAGCTTCTTAAGGCATGAATGGTAGGAGCCTTGGTGGAAAAACAATGCCTCAGGGCCAATCATTTTCTCTTTGCTTGGTGGATATGTGGGCTTGAAAAGATGAGCCTTGCTCACAAGCACCACTCTTGCTGCCTCTGGGCTTGATATCATCACACATGGACACCCCAATATATGCGTCTTAAAAACGTCCCCGTATCTACAACATTACAAAACATGGTTACCACTGGTTCATCTTAAAGGTCGATGGTTGGTGTGTACGTCGTCTTACCGTTTTTGCCTGACGGAGAAGAAGGAGTTGGGGTTTTGGGTGTAGAGTTTGAAGGTTTCGCCGATGTAAGGCCAGCCCACGGAGCCGGGAGGGAGGAGTTTGTGCCTCGGGTGGCGCCATTGGAGGAGGAGGAGGAGGAAGAAGGAGGAGAATAAGAGAAGAGGAATCATGTGGCTAGAAACTAAAAACAAAGAGGGAGTTTTTGGTTTTGCTTCAAATGTGAGTGAAATGGGAGTTTTAATAGAAAAGTGAAGTGGAGTTAGTTGTAAGACAGGCGTCAGCAATTTTACAATTACACTTTGCTTTCAAACTCAAAGTGCCATTTAAAAATCATGATAGTGAGGGGAGGTCCTCCCCAATGCATGCCTTTTAGCCCCCACCTAACCTATATGTTTTTAAGTGTTTTTTTGCATTCTCAATCCGAGCCTAGTTTATAAAGACGCATTTATTACCGTCTTAAAGTTTGATAGTTCGATCTTCTATTCCTGCAATTATTGTACTAAAAATATCTGTAGAATGTCTTTTTCTGAGATTTAGTCTCTTATTCTTTTAAAAGTCATTTCAATTTAGTTTCTTACATTATTCAATTATATACTTTTTACTAGCGAGTGTTAAAATTGGCTTAGGATCATGATAACTTTACCTAATATGATAGTAGGTCAATTGGCAAAAACTTAGTGGAAGAATGAGACTCTCCTATGTTTCTGCAAGAAATTTATGAGATGAGATCCGAGCGAACTAAGTCGAGAGAGCTTAGCAAGGAGACCTGCAAGCAAAGAAAAGATGCTCCGACGCTCAATTTAGTTACAAAGTCCAAATCTCTAAATAGGTCGGCTTCCGACAGAATTACATACCTACTTGGGTGAAATAAGGGTGTAGTATTTATAGGGATTCGGATGGAAATTCTCTTTGCGAGAATCACGTGGGGATTGCGACATAATCCTGGTGATTATTAACTCCCTTTGAATCACTCCTAGGTATATAAGTGGGGGGGGGGTGTTTGGACCCGAAGCTCAAGCTCACCAAGCTGTAGGACATTGCTACTGTGGTTAAGTTTGGGTTGTTGACCTATGAAAATTCATCATCTGAGGCTAGTTTTAATCTCATCTTCCAAAATTTCTATAGAACTGGTGATGTTTTCCTCTTAGATAGCCTAATCCTTTTTTAAAACTTATGTCAACTCACTAAGTATTCTATGTAGCCTTATTATCAATATAAACATTTATAAAAATATGTTATAAATGTATAGTTCATGTGGTCAATATAAAAATAGCTCACCGATTAAGATATCTCTTAATCTGCTCTTCTTTTGAAGCACGTGAGGTTCAAAGTCTCCACTACACTTCTTTTACTAAAACAAGGTATTACTCCAGAATACTTTTTTATATATAGAAAATAAGAAAGAAATAAATAGGTAGCTATTTAATTGTGAAGAAAATTTAACATACATTACACTGTTCTGGTAATTAATTAAGTTAGATTTAATTCTCACTTATGACAATAAGTTATTATTTCAGTCACATTTTATATTTTTGAAAAACTTATAACTACTCCAATTAAATCTATAATAACTTGCTATTTACTAGTAAGTAGAGAGGAGTTTTCTTCTTTTTTTTTTTAATAAATTAATAGCTGTCAGATTTGTGGGCACCTAAAATTATACATGGATATATAATACATGAACTTAATAAATAAGATGTAAAAAATTATTTCAGTTTCTAATTTGATTTCAAATGTCTAAATTTCAATGTCAATTTGAGCATAGCTTAACGAGTTAAGGTATTTATTTTCGATTAAAAAGACGTGAGTTCGAATCCATATATCCGTAACTAGTTTTTTAGTAGGTCTATATGAGAGTGCCCTCGTTGGGAAAGAAAATTTAACATCTTAACATTACTCCTTTTTTTTCTTTTTCTTTTTTCCCTTGAGTTGAAAGCATTTATAGTAATTAATTAACTTAGATTTAATTCTCATTTATTACAATAAATTATTATCTTAGTCACATTTTATATTTTTGAAAATCTTATAATAATTAGGTTTTTTAGTTCACAAAGTGAAGAGAAGGGATTGAACTTCCGACCTATAGAGAAATAAGGAGAGCAAAATGTCTTAGCTGCTGACCTATGCCCATGTTAATACATAATAATTCGGTCATTCATTAGTAAGTAAAGAAGGTTTTTTCTTTTTTTTTTCTTGAATTAGGTGAAGATTCAAACATTGACCTTTGGTTCGAATATATGCATGTTTTAATCCGTTTAGATTCGAATATATATGTTTTAATCCATTTAGATATGTTCGAGTTGACGAGTAAAGAAAAATTCTTAATTGCACATTTTAGTGCTTACAATTATTTATAAATATAAATAAAATTAGAGTATAACAATATACCTACATAATTTTATTATACATATATGTGTGAACAATCGGATCTTTTTTGAATAAATAATAGAATAAAGACGTGACTAATTTATCATATTAAAATTGAAAAAGAATATTGTTCTATTTTAATTATCTTTTACTTTTATTTTTATGAATCGCTTTAAATTAGGAATAATAAAAATAAGGGGTTTGGTAAAAAAATGATAAAAATAATGAGAGTTTATGTAATTTTTAAAATCAAAATAAGGTAGTGAGTGATATATATGCGAGACAACAAAACTGACATGTAATTTTGAAATTTTAAATCCAAGTAAATGTTCAAATAGATTCACTAATTTTATAATTCACTTAAATTACATAAAAAAAAAAGAAAGAAAAGAAAAGAAAAGAAAAAAAGTGAGGTTTTCACTATTTAAATTTGTATAATTTAAAAGAATATCATAAAATCTAGCTTAAAAACTCCCTTAATTAACAAAAAAATTCTTCAAAATTTGGCAAAATGTGTCTTTAGAGCTTGAATTAAATGATGAAATAGGAGAGAAAACAACACAGGTTATAAACTGTGTGAATAATTGGTCTTAAATAGTCTGTATACGCCAAAATGAAATTTAAAGCTGAAGTTAGATGTGATGATGATAAATGAGAGAGAAAACAATAGAAGTTTTATAACCACGTGAAAAAGTGGCATATCTTAAATAGTTGTGAAAGTCCTTATTGATAGACTAAAGTTGTTCGACTGCTAGTCGTGTTTAGAAATTCGGGTGAATGGAAATAATCATTATGTATCATAATGTTACTTAATGGGAAATTAGTATTATCTAGAAACGAAAATTCTCTCATGCAAGAGCTTGATATGAACTAGGACTCTAATCAGGACATATAGAATTACGAGCTTAGTGAAGAGCCTGTTGAAAAGAGCACGAGATTGAGAACACGTTGAAAAGTTCTCTAGTCCGAGTCAGGGTGGTTGTTTATGATGAGACAATGGTCATTGTTTTACATGTTGTCCAAAGTCAAGTAGTCACAAAGCTAAGAACATTTTACCAAGTTAGAATGTTTTAATTAACATGATCCAGATAGAGAGACGTGCTTTCTACGAAATCTTCTCATTTGAGAGTGATTGAATCATGTGACTTGAATGTCATGTGATAGATGTGTATGGTGATGTCATTGTCCAATATGATATTTTCATTATTTTATGTATTATATTCCAAAATTGTTGATCATATTTATCATCAACTACTTTAGATAAATCATCTTTAAAAAAAATAGAAAATATAAAGTGAATTATTTGTGATGTCAAAATTTCAAAAGATATTGAGGATGGTTGGTGTGCTTAGACCATGTTTTCAATTATTTTAAAATATGCATTTTGTAACAAATTAAAAAATCATATAATTATAATTACTTAAAAAATTACCTTTTGAACTACAAAATCTGAGTAATTATTTTAAATAATGTTTTCAAACAAGAAATTGAATATAAATTAGATATCGTCAAAGTTATAAACACAAGTTTCGTAGAAATGTCAATGCCACAATTTTACGGGAAATGTCGATGAAAATATCAACAAAATATTGACGTCGATGAATATTTCAAAAAAATTATAAAAATCAAGAAATTCATAACAAATAAATAGTTTGCTATTTGAAAATAAATTAAAATTTATTATTATTTTTATATTTGTCAACCATTTAACAATACAATAATTTACCCCATTCGTCAATATCATGAAATTTAATACCTTAATATGGTAAAGTAAAATTTATCAAGATATTTCAATACGAAAGTATAAATATTTCTTCCATCAACTGTTCTATTAGGTCAACATCACATTAAAAATAACGTGGAATCCATGGACACTTAAACATGATTTGTAAAGACAAAATTATAATGGGAACAAAGAGAGTACAACATAGCACATCTGTCAGTAAACTTTCCCAAATTTCTCAAAGGTTAATTCGACACGTGGCTTGTTTCAATTGAGTGGGAACGACAAAGGGATTTCAAAGTCGACGTGTCGACATATTTAGATTTTAATCTTTTAATTATTCTCTGGCCGTCTCCCCCAAACTCGGCCTTCCCCCACTCGCTTTCTACACCCACCGTACTACAATTTTTTCAAATAATATAAATAAAAAAAGAAATTACAAATTTAATGTAAATTACAAAATAAAATTAAAAAAATGTAAATAAAATAATAAAAATCTGAAATAGATTGAATTTCAAAACTATCGACAAAAGTAAGGTAGTAGAGTCAAAGTAAAAAATCGTGTATTGTACACGATTTACATGTGGAAGGTGATGATTTAGTACTGAAATCGTGTACATCGTACACAATTTTCGGTAAATAGTGTACGTTAAGTTCACCCAATTTTTTTTTGTAAAATTTATTAACCATAATAATTTGTCGGCTGAATTCGAAAAAGTATACAAACTTAAATTTGTCGACTAAATTTGGCACGTAAGACGAGCGCACCTTCTCGCAAACTTAAATTTGCTGGTCTACTAGTGCCCTATCGAATGTTTGTGGTTTGAATAAAGTTCTCACATAAAGAGTCCAACTGATGTATATTATGTTCTACTGCAATGTTCTGCATTTCACTGCAAAAAAATTCTACAAAAATTAGCATATAAATTTAAATTAATATCATAATTAATTAATTAAAGAAATGTAATACTCATCGGTCACGACGTTGACGCCACATTGTATGTTGGACAAGTGCATTCGAGAAAAAAAAACAGCAAGTATTATCGAGGAAGAAAAAAGAAAAAAAGAAGGGGGGGGGGGTGGGGACCTCATGAAGTGAAATTGTGT